CTTGTAGAATAATAATGGCAGGGCAAGAAATAGACTATATCTTAAAATGGACGGTTCCCACTTAGGAAAAACAGCCAACACCACGAGAAGGTGTGGAACCATCGTTAGCCACTTTTTTTTTTCTTCTTCTTCTTTTCTTTACTTTTCTGAAAAAAATTTACTGAAATTTTAGTTGCGTCCCCTAAAAGGAAACACGGAGAAAAAAAATTGTGCATAGAACCCGAAGCTGAGATCATATGGATCTCTGAAGTTTTCGGATCACGCATCCGAAAAGTTAAGGTCCATCTGCCGAAGTTCGGGTCAGACAATTGAAGTAGTTCGGTATATACCGAAGGTTTAAGGTCACACATCTGAAGTACTCGGTGCATACCGAAGTGCTTCAGATTTCTGACTCAGAGGTTTAGGAAAAACACAGTAGAGAACCAAGGAAATCACAGGTGAACAGAGAAAAAAATAGAGTCGAATAAATAAAGAAAACTATTATAGAAGAAATTCTAATTATTAGAAAGTAATTAGCTGGCATTATCAATGCGTAGCTGCATAGGAGCATGAGCGAGATTTATCATCAACTGACCGCTGGCCGCTAGGTACCTGGGTGGGCGAGCGACAATACGTAAGCGGTGGCATATGGTTCGATTGACAGAGGAGTGGGGAACGGTCAGACGTAGGGGAAAGGTTCAGGCTGAACCGTTCAGCACAGCGCAGCGTCAGTCACCGCACCGGGTGGGGAAGAGAGTCCGGGAGGGGACACTTCCCCTTAGTGGGGCCGATAAGTGGAAAATATCATAAGAATCGTGCACTTCTGGAAGAAAGCATGAAAATTTCAGGGATTCATCTCTACCCTATAGACATTCGATTCAGACATAGACCCCAAAAATCTGAGCCCCCTGGGGGGGCAGGGGGGCCCCCAAATTTTGAATTTTGAATAACTACGGAACGGCTAATGTTAGCGTAATTTTTTTTNAAGTTTATATTAATGATATTTTTATCCTTTCTCGTTCCTGGTGTTTTCCTTGCATTTTAAACAAAACAAAAACGTTATAGTATTTGAATAATTGCCAAAATGGTGGAACCTACCGTGGTGTATACTTACCCAAGTGACACCTTCTGAAGAAATATCGAGCTTGGTAGCAATACATCGAACCTTTATTGCAATAAAGTTACAATTTTAAGTACAATTTTCCATGTACTCAGGGTTTTTGTAGGTTTTCTTCTACGCTATAATTGAATAATCAATTTATTAGTATTGAGATCTTAGATAAAAAAACACTAAAGTTTGAAATATTTTTAAGTCCCTTTTTGAATAGGAATATAAATAAACAGCCCCATTTTTTCGATGTGTTGCATTATTGTTCCACATTAATGAAATCATTTTAGCTCCTTGATCAGGATATTTAGGCTCTTCACAGCGCAAACTATAATGTTCCAATAATTTTACCATGTTACTGCAATTTCTTTCAACCGATGCCATTCTGGAATTGGACAATTTTTCCTTTAAATGAAACTAATTGATATGTCCTCTACTGAATAGCAGTAATGGAATCAAACATCAATGGACCACTAGACTCGGTACGAATTCAAGCGATCTGATACATGTTTCTTAAACAGAATTTCACGTAAAACACGATTCACACAACGAAAATTACTGAAACCAATTCCTAACGAAGATATTAACGTTTTTATTTTGCACTGATTACGAGGAATTTGAACTACCCGCTCACAAGAAACTCAAAGCTCTACGTGAGTCAAATCGCCTACTACGAAGGTTTCAGCAAGCTTCTCAATTGAGCAATGTTCAATTCCCACAATGTGTTGATCAAACTATTAGTAATTTGCTATAACTGAGCCAAAGCGTCAAGATTGAGATTGTCAGATTTTTATATCGCAGAGACTGTCATGATAACGTTTAGCGCGCGATGTGAATCACGTAGAGCATTGAGTTTTAATGAGCGGGTGGTTTGAATTCACGCATCAAGAATCATTAAATATCTTCGTGAGGAGTTAATTTCGGTAACTTTCGTTGTGTGCACCGTTTTTAAAGTGAAATCTTGGTTAAGAAACATGTATCAGAATGCTGAAATTCGTACCTTATCTAGCGGTCCATTGGTAATGCATCGAGACTGCAATACGAACTAATTTGTCGAAAAAACCAATTTTTTTCAAAGATTCTAGACCATTCCTATTTACCTATAAATTTACGCACCACTCCAGACATTCAATCTAGAAATGGAAATCCATCTGACTGTAATCCGTCTAATTACAATATTTCTATATTTTACTTTCTGACTTGAACTGAATCGAAACTACAGTTAACTTTTTTTTCTCTCCGCCAGCCCGGCCCGCGTCTAATTTGCAGCTACACAAGGAATACGGAGGTATATATAGACAGTGGCCTGGTTGGGTACCTTTTATACTATTGGCTAAAGCTGAATACGCGGAGGTTTGTATTGTTGACGTTTTCTAGCCATATTGGCACCAATGGTCGATGGGTTATAAAAATTAGATGTAATTCTTGGTCTGTAAAATCTTGGATCAGAATCCAGTATGCTTCAGTTATCTTTTAATGAATATTCCATGTATCTACCTCAAATGTGAATCAAATTGTATTAAGCTTATCATTTACTAAGATCTTTTAATATTTTTGCTGTTATATAAACTTTACACTTGGAATTATTTTGAAAAAGTTGATTACATAATTTTACGAACATGGGTTAAAGAAAAAAAAATATTATCTCAACTAGTCAGTAACAGACCTTATTCAATGTGCGTGGAATGATAGTTTCTATGCGTGTGCATCTAGGACTAAAAATCTACGTTTATCCTTTGTTCAGGTGTTTTTTACCTCGAAAAACTTGGAGACAAAATCCTTCTTATACGATGTATTTCATGATTGGTTGGGTCAGGGACTTCTCACTAGTTCAGGTAAGCATGATGATGTACAGATACTGATCTAGTCAATAAATTTTTTTCATCCTGAAAAGTATCATAAATGCCATTTTTACCAAAATTGAGATATTATTCGTTTCGCATTCCTCAGATAATTTAACCCTCAGATGTCAAAGCCAGGCCAAATTCAGGTTTCCTCGCGGAAAAGAAAGGTTTGGATTTTTACCTGAATATCGGTGTACAATATACCAACTCCGGATAGTTCATATGGCTTTTTATTTTGAATAGTATACCACCATGATTTTGTGTTAAATGCAAACTCAAAGTTTAGTTTAGTACACGGGCTTAGTTAAGATAATATCCGAACTAGTTCGGCATCAAGCTAAATCTGGTTTGTATCCCAAAATTAAAGCATCGGCAGCAAAAAACGGGGTTTGTAGTCAGGGGACAGTTGAAAAGAGCCCCCCAAAATGAAGTGTTCAAACTTCACTTCCTGCTCCACCGCTTCCTACTTGAGTTCATGCATTAAAATTATTATTTTTCCTCAAAGGCACTGCTCAGTAAAAATATATGATCATTTTAGAACCATCAGATATTTGAAATTAGAGGATGAACAGAGGGGTGCGTCACAAAATTGATGGAAAACAATATTTCTTTCATTTTGGCGATGCACCCTTCAGTTTACCCTCTGATTCCAAATGTGTGATGGTTCGGAAATGATCAGAACTCATGACCGTGCCATGTGCGGTGCCTTTAGGGAAAATAATTTAAATGCATGAAACCAAGTAGAGAGTAGTGAAGCAAAAAGTGAAGTTTGTCACCGAAATGCTTTTCCGGACCCTCGGTAGAAACAGCTAACTAAATATGATAAATACTAAAAACAAAATCGACAATACGTTTGTCCCTTAAGCTGAAAACGGCCCTGAATTGCGTCATGTTTTGTGCAACTTATCACAAATACCAAATTCAGAAATGTAAGGTGATTCGATGGAGGCCATATTTTGCGTCAAAGTGACGTGCGATATATCGCATCAATCTGTTCCATAATTTCAGCTACTTGTCATTTTTTTCAAATTTTGAGATCGCACTTCTGTTGTCATGAGACTTAAGAACTCACGTACCTTTGACAAAGAAATTCAACGTAATAAAGGCGTGGTTTTTTAAAGGAAAAATATCGCATTCGACACTGATATCGAAAATGCACTCGAATGCTATATTTTCCCTCTAAAAAAACCACGCCTTTATTCTGTTAAATTTCTTTGTCAAATTTGGTATATGAGTTCTTCAGTCTCATGACAACAGAAGTGTGATCTCAAAATGTGAAAAAAATGACAAGTAGTTGAAATTATGAAACAAATCGACGCGATTAATCGCACGTCGCTCTGACACAAAAAACGGCCTCCATCGAATCACCGTCTGCTTCGTTGCGGCTATGTTCAATTTATTGAGAAATGAGAAAGAATCATCACAAGCAACAACACAAATGCAACATACCTAATTATATCTTCAACTTTCCTCACAGAATTTTCTCAGAAAGCATAATCATATGTATCAATATTTTTAGTACATGTGTTGTAACCATGTGACCATCCGTTTAAACACCTCATTTCTATTTTTTGGCTGAATTATAGGTCACTTATGGCAACAACGAAGGAAACTGATTACCCCTGCGTTTCATTTCTCCGTTTTAAATGGATTATGTGACACTCTAGTGGAAAAAGGGATCAAAACAGTTGAATTGTTACGAAGCCAACCCACAGATTCTCCAGTGGATGTCTATGAATTCATGTACTTGGTTGCCCTCGATAGTATCTGTGGTAATATATTTTGAGACAGTGTCAAGATTCCAAGATTCCAAAAATGAGTAAAAACATTCACATTCTTACGAGAATATATGATCACCAATTTGAGCCTGCAGCCGGGTGGAAAGTCTGTCAAATTATCTGGTTACAAATACCCGATTCTTTCCAAGTAAAACTACAAATTATAAATGGAAATTCAGCAGCGTTGGGATTTCTTTACGTTCTAACACACAGCGGCACAAAGTGACTGAATCAATCAATTTTTTTTAAGATCTGGTACTGCGACCCTCATTCAAAAATTTTAAAACCATCATCCCTAACGGATCTCAAAAGTCCGTTCATTTTCTATTTTTTAAGTTTGAAGAGACAGATAAAAGTTCCATTGAGAAAATGGAATGAGGGGTTTCCGTTTTAAATTAGATTTTTTTCAATTGCAGAAGCTGCTATGGGAATCAAAATCAATGCAATGACCGATCCAAAACTGGATTACATCCGAGCTCTTACGGAGTAAGTTACCTTTAAAAATTGTTACATCTGAACAGATAAAAAACAAGCTGATAAATCCAACACGTGGTTTTGGAGGAACGCGCCATAAGAGTATATCGACGGTGAAACTACCAGACCACGTATCTCGTTTGCGGTGTTTAAAAATCTCCACCCACATTTTATTTTTTTGGTGGAGATCAAATCAATATCATTCTTCACAATTTTCATAGATTTTTCTCCGCACAAAGAGGAAAAATCACGGAAGTTTTCACGAATTGACGTTGAGTAGTTTTCTATTTAAAAAATGAAGTATGGCAGGAAGTTTGCGACGTCGCAAACCGAGATACGTGGTTTGGTAGTTTCACCGTCGATATCTGCTTTATCATATTCAGGTTTATGGTTGTTCTCACTCACTGAACGAGTTAGAACCGCCTTAGAATGAGCCTGGTTACCAGTGTTTAATTTCTGCACTTTTAAAAACTAGAGAATGCCAAAAGTTCACAGGAATTTTCCCCGATTTCTTTGAACAATATTAACCCACGAAAAACGAGCTCAAAGTTGCGTATTTTTGAGCTCCCATTTAAACGCAATTTGGTAGGTCACTAAAAATGGCTGCCGTGACTGCCCGATGGAGAATGGTAATACTCGACTAGTTACCTCTGCGCTCTGCCGCGTCCTATAGCCGGCACTATGAGGTATATTAATACTCCACTGATCGGTGCATTTTATGAATGAGCCGAATATGCCGCTCTGCCGCGTCCTATAGCCGGCACTATGAGGTATATTAATACTCCACTGATCGGTGCATTTTATGAATGAGCCGAATATACTAGTTCAATATTACAAAATTAATTCCAATCGGAGATGATGTATAATGAGTATCCGAGATAGTTAGTTAGTTAGTATATTTTAAGACATTCAGCGTCACAGGCTATTAACGTCTTTACAGAGAATTTTGAAAATGGGAGTATATGCGAAAATTTAGATTTTAAAATTAAGAGAGAGGTGAGGAGTTTCAGAATTTTGGTAGTAACATTGCGGGTTCATCGTATGTAAGTGGGTTTGTATTTCTGTTGATTGTAGGGGAGTAGATCTGTGATTGGAGATATCTGAGGGCAGAACAGTCCATAAGTACGTGTTTGATGGTTAGAGGTGATAAATTACAGAAGTGACAGATGGGTTGATTTTCTTTGGGGATGATATGATTGTGAGTGAAAAACAGTGTGACCTATCCTGAGACGCGCATTTTGGACTTCACATGATCTTGTTTTGTGGTTAGATGTTCTTGCATCTTATCGATTCTGCGGTTTATACTTTAACCGAACAGAAATCATATGTTCTGTAATATCAAAAAGTATGCGGTAATTTTATTTCCTTACCATCCTATGATTGCCATTTGATGCGGTTTTTTTAAAAACTAATTCAATTTTTTTACCATTACCATGCACTCTAAAAGCGTCCTTGAACAAAGGGATTAATTGTTATCAAGTCTTTTAAATTTTGATTTCTTTTACAGTTAAATGTTTTTTTAACCATGTTTTTACATTTTTCAGTAATACAAAAATTTCAATCGAACGAACGTTTAAACCGTGGCTAAATCATCGTTTCTTTTATATCACACCAATGGGTCGTAGACTGGCCAGAAATTTGGAAACAATTTTTCAATTGTCAAAAATGGTAAGTAAATATCACATGATATTACGGTGATTTATGGTGATAACACGGTACGGTGTATTAATGCTAATGGTTGATAAAAATTACTGCGTGTGGATACTTTTGAAAAATTGGTAAGAAAATTGAATATGAATGGGGTGATATAAAACGTGAAAATGCGCTGACTCATTCTTGCAGGAACAATTACGGAACATGGGTTTTTGATCGTTCGAGAGCTTTTAGGGTAGGGTCGAATAGATGTACAAGTCCTGGTACATGCACATAATAGTTAGAAAGATTTATAAGCCACCTCTAATTAAATTAAAGTACCTGTATCATAACATTTCTGATATTTTTACAGAAAATTATTTTATTCTTACGAATAAATAGGAGCCTCGAGCGAAAAAATAGTTGTAAGTATAGCTAAACAGCTCTATAGAAATAATACTGATCAGGAGTTAATTTTTAGTGGTATTTACAGGAAGTTCGTGAATAATTTTTTTATCATTTTAAACCTTAATAAATAAAACTCTCTTTCACAGGCAATCAACCACAGCAAAATGACGAGAAAACCTAAAAGGAAAGAAAACGAAGACACTGAATTCGATGAAATTAAAGGTGATAAAATGACCTGATTAATATTAAGTTACTGTATAAGTCATTACCAGTATAAGGCTTTTTACCTTCGCATTAGGGTACATATGAACGCCGGTGCTTAAGATATGATGAGGACTTTTTCCACGCCAGTATACCGTTTTTGAAAATTCATATAGTTCAATATTATCCGATTAATTTACTGAGGTCTAGAGAGGAGCAATAATTCCGCCACGGGCCATTGGTAAAATTGGCCGTTGTAAAAAATCCAAACTGACCAAGCACCAATACCTCAATTTTGTAGGCATTTTTATGAGCTAAACGTCTGTATTCGGTGATATTAATAGACGTGTCGGAATTTTTTTTTTTTTTATTTACAGCTTGAACAAATTATGGGAGACAAATTGAAGAACTTTTGAAAAATTTGCTTTCGGCCAATTTATGCGCAACGCTTTGAGCCAGCATATGGGGGTGGGGATTCTACACCACACCAAAATGTATAAATATTACTGATATAATTTTCTAGGGAAAAAGAAACTTGCGTTTCTAGATCTTCTTTTAGAGGCTCACGACTCAACCACAGCTTTTATCACGGATGAGGGTCTGCAAGATGAAGTGAATACGTTTATGTTTGCCGTAAGTACAGTAAGCAGAGTTAATTTTTATGACTCGGCGGCTCTCGCAAGAGGTAGTGAATTCTTATTAGATGTTGTCAAAGTCCCGCGCAAATGAAGCATTTGAAAGGGTTAATTTATTTTGTATTTTCTAGGCAGTGAAAATCAACGCAATCACTTTTATATGAGAATACTTTAGTGTTTCCATCATGACGGCTACTTAGTGCAGGGTATGGATTGGATCGACATGATTCCTTCAAAAAATAATAACGCATGAATCGATACCGTTTCGATTGACAACCTTGAATTGATGTAAGAGCCCGTAAATCGGTCGACAAACCGGTGAATCTACAGACAAACCGGTGAATCTACAGAAAAACCGGTGAATCTACAGACAAACCGGTGAATCTACAGACAAAACCCCTGAGTCAATCGATAGACTCCGTTAGTGGATCGACAAACCTTTTGAGTCGATCGAGAAATCCGTGAATCGATCGAAAAACTCGAGAATTTATTAAATCAGTGTCGATCCGTCCACGTTTTTATTTTTCGATAGATTTATGTCAATCGAATTCTCACCGGTTTTTGTATAATTTGTCGATAAAATTGGTGTCGATCGGCTCTCGATGATCGATTTTCGTTTTTATTTTCCGATCGACTCATGGCAATCGAATCCATACCTTCCTCCGTTAAGGCCTGGATACACACGGCGGTCAATCGCCGCGATTGAAAAAGGAAAACCAATGGAGAGCCTTGATTTCGATCCATTGACGTCGATGTATCGAAATCAAGGCTCTCCATTGGCTTTCGTCTTTCAATCGCGGCGATTGTTAATTAATTATTTATTATTTATTTATTTAGTGTTACTGCATGGAACTCATATCTGATGGAATTTCCTCTCAAGTTCACGGCCAGACAATTTTTTTAAAGAACAAACGCACAAATAATTTGAAAAATTTTACGCTAATTTTAAGATGCACCCTGCGTTGCGATTTGAGTCTAATGTCTGCGCTTGTCTATCGAATCATACATATGAAAAATTGAACTTTTATTCCCTTCTACTTGTAACTCTTATTATTTTTTTTTTTTTTCCGCAGGGACATGAGACTACGGCCTCATCGATGAGTTTCACGCTGCATATTTTAAGTATTCATCCAGAAATTCAGGTATCTGTGCTTTTCTTACCGTGATTTTTTTCCTTCTATAATGACTTACTACTCTAAACAGGCAGTCCAAAGGTTTGGGGTTTAGAGGTCTACTCTGCACTCTGTAGACATTTATTTAACCGTGGATCTATGTTTTTGTCATTTGAAAACAAATGAAAATAAAATAGATTTGCTCTAGAATTAATCTCTCAAAAAATGATTAATTATTATCGGCTCTTCAATTCAGTGGCGTGGCGTGAATTGCAATTAATCGATTGTTATGCCATTTAAACCTATGGAAAAGGATCGAGAAACAGGGTGTTCGCAACGAACACTTTAATAATCGATTCTTTGCCATAGGTTTAAATGCCATAACAATCGATCTATCGCAAGTCACGCCAGGCCACTGCTCTTTATACATACTCCTCTCTCTGTCTTCCTTGTTTTCATTCAACAATTCGTAATGAATCGCGCGTAGAACACGATGCGTTCCAGGGCCGGATTTACCTACTTGCCACCCATGGGCCGCCTGTAATTTTCCGCCCCTTCTCATTCGTTTTAAAACATCAATAGATCGTATTCGACAGTGGTTCGATGTATCGTTTGGTTCAAGACAATAGAACAAAACCTCAAACAAAAATTTTAGCATTTAATTGGAAAAGCTGAAAATGATAAAATTCCTAACAATTTCACTTTTCATTGCCATTTGGTACTCGAGAGAATAACAATTCGATCACATAAGACCCGTTACCTCAGATTTCTAAATTGACTTTTGAGCCTGTGGTTTCATATTGAACCAATCGATATCAATATAATCTCACCTGTGTGATCTGTCGAATACGATCTATAAAAACCGCCGGTGGAGGAGGGGTGTATGAGACGCGTTTACTCGTGTTGGCCACATTTTTTGTGACAGCCCTGTCAACACTAACAAAAGTTCAGTTCCGTAAATCCATCCCTGTTTGGACAAGACCTTAAATTTATAAAAAAACGAACGAAAAAATTATGAAAGGACAAACATAAACGTGGTTAATAATTTTAACTTCCGCCGCTGCCCGACCGCACTGTTGGCGCAATGCGTGAAGTATTCAAGCAGTCTTGTAGGCGCCATGCGTTTCATGCCGACCGCTGCATGACCAATGCAGGTCACATTGCGTGTTTGGTTTCTCTCGTATCTCGACTAATTAAAGGTGTCGTCTCTTGTATCACCGAAAGACGACAAAATTAGAAATTTCTATACTTTTATTCTCAAGAAATGAGAGATTTTGTCGCCTTTTCTCGTTTGTAATTTGTTTTCTGAATCCGATTTTTCTCTCTCTTTTTTTGATACCTGCATTCAAAAAGATTGCAAAATTTGCCGTCCCCCATATTTTGCCGCCATGGACCGCGGCCTTTATGGCCACCTTCTTAATCTGGCCCTGATGCGTCCGCTAAAAACGTGAAAAAAATACTCAGAAACCGAAAAATACGCAGTTAAAACAGCGCAACTTTTTTGAGAGATCAAAACACCCCGGGTTCGCGCCGAACCGAATGATGTCATCTGGCACCAATCAGAAGAGAGCAAGGGTTTTTGCGACTTCCGTCAGATGTCTCGCTACTCCTCATAAATGAAAACAAAAGAAAGTCGTAACCATATCTTTAGAATCAAAGAATCGAATCGAATCTAATTCATGTTATGAATGTCTGTCTTGCACGGCTACGTCGAAAGTCATGTGAACGACCTTAAATGTATTGATTTTCCGCAAGCAAAATCTTATTAGCTTCTTAAAGAACAGTGCTACGGGATGATTTAAGCACAAAGAGGAAATATTCTGTTGAGTTCATGTATTCGTGTTATTATGTTCACGTTAAACATAGATCAGCTCCACATTGGAACAAGCAGAATACTCTAATACAATGTGATTAATAAGGCTTGATTTGAACAACACCATTTTATTTTTATTTGAATGGAAACCAAGGTGTTGTACAGAACATTTATTAATTACTGAGGTACCTTTCGGCTTACACCATCTTCGGAGTGCATACTTTTCGGAAACATAAATATATCACAGTCAAGCTTGTTACAACTAGTATACAAACTGTGATATATTTCTGTTTCCGAAGAATATGTACTCCGAAGATGGCGTAAGCCGAAAGGTACCTCGGTAATTAATAAATATTCAATACAACACCTTGGTTCCCATTCAAATACAATGTGATGATAAGGCGCGTTATTGACTCGTACACGTCAACCTCATTAGATTTCATTTACAGAGATTTTAATATAGGTAAGCAGTACATGAAGAGAATTCACGATGATCCAACACTGCGAGGTCAACCACGCACCTCGACGACCGTATATTTGGGAACGTCGAAAACCATTTAAACGAATCTATTTTTATGTAATTTCTTTTGCCATAGGCACGTCCAATTGGACTCCATTTTGCAATTCGGAACTATAATTTCTACCTCATCCATAAAAACACTTAAGTGCATAGTTACACTGATGGTACTTATGCTGTTCCTAAATTGAGCCAGAAATTGTAGTTCCTAATTGCAAAATGCAGTTCAATTGATCCCTCTAGTGAATCAAATTCCCCGTTTGAGGTTGAAATGGCGACTTGCAATATTCTGCAGTTCCTCGGAAACAAGAAGAAACACATATTCGTGAAGTATAAATGCGCATACAACTCTCACTTCTCACCTTGCGAAGTGCTGGTTGCATGCCAAGAACGACCCATTCTTGCCAGATGGTCCTGAAAAATCATCCTTTTTTCCTCATTTAAAGTCATATATATTACTCACATGTTATCATCTAACCGGACAACTTTGGCGCGACCTTAACATCTCGATGAGTCATGTCACTCATGCAGAACCGTTTAGCTGCCAATTTACGGATTCTCTGCTACGCTGGTGACTTGTCTCCAACTCAATCGATGACTACTCAAATATGCCAACTAATAGATTGATGTGCAGATTGCCTACCTTCTCCCCCGGAGGAGCTATCATTGTTGGAACTAGTTGCAATTAAGGTGAAACATGTTTCAACTTCAAAGTATTGCTGGTTGCCTATCTTTATATTTTAAACAACTATGGTTCAGCAATTTTGCAAACTCAGCAGGTTGCAAGTTTGTCTTCCGATCAGATCTCCGAAAATCGGCACTTATTGACCAACAGTTGACCGAAAGTTGCAACTTTGTTGCAACAAACACTAACATTGTTTCAACGTGTTGCAACTTTAACATTGAGAAATGCTACTTGGGTACATTTATTATCGTATGATGCACATAATTTACGTGGTACCGCCTTGCAGATGAAATGCATTCCGGGTACGATTGTTGCATTTTAAATGGACCGTTTTCGAAACATGTTTTATACGAAATATATATTCGTTATATGTTTTATAACGAATTGGTTGGTTCGAAACAATAAAATATAACACCAAACCGAAATTTCAGGATTTCAGCTGAAAAAGCTAAAAAAAAAAGGAAACTCCTGACACTTTCACACTTTTCGCTTGCCGCACGCAGTACTCATAAGGATCCAAAATTAATCACAAAAATGTATTACGAAAATCCGTCACCACAAATCACGTGATGGACTTTTGAGGTTATATGTATACATAATGAACCAATCTATATTTGTACAATAGAGAATTTGCACACAAAAATGTTATTTTTTCATCTGAAAGTGTCTAATGAGCTGAGTTCGCAGTAGTTTTTATAATTTTTTTTTGACGTGAGAAATTGGAGAAAAATTTATTTAAAAGTGAAAAGATTTGCCGCCTTGTGACTTCATCTGGCGGCATTTCCCACTTAAACACGTGTATTTTAGCAGAATTGGTTATTTTGTCATATCTCCTCTAATAATTGCTCAATTTATGAATCAAGGATATCTTCATGTTCAGTTTACTCAGTAGATTCCATTTCAACATGAAATTCATCAAATTTCAGACCCTTGCAAATTCTCCATTGCAGTGATAGATCGTCTGTTTGATGTATCGGATACGATCTATGCTAACCATTGGGTGGATTACTTTGTTTGTACTAAAGCGAAATTTTAGTCCCTGGGTCAACCTTTGAGGAATTTCCATGTCAAAAAATATCGTCTAAATATTAAAGTAAAGTCAAATCCACTTATTCCATTTTGCAACCGATTATTTCAATTTATGAGTATTAATGGTGATTTAGGAAAAGTGCTATTGACTTTACCTTACAATTTGAGAGGATGATTTACTGCGCTAACATACCTGGCTGATTGATTGAGCAACTACAGGGCCGGATTTTCCTATACTTGCCGTCCATGGGCCGCCTGTATTTTGCCGCCCCCCTCTCATTCGTTTTGAAACATCAATAAAAACCATTAAGTGAAGGTGCCGGAGGGGGAGGGATGCATAAAACGCGTTTACTCGTGTTGAATGCATTTTTTGGGAAAGCCCTGTCAACACTACTAGCAAAATTTCACGGAACTTTGCGCGAAAGTCAAGTTTCGTAAACCTATCTCTGATGGACAAGGCCTTCCATTCATAAGAAATAAACGAAAAAATTATGAGAGAACAAACACAAAATTTGGTTTAATGATTTTAACTTTCACTGCCGCGCCGCGCCGACCACACCGTGTTTGGTGCAATGCGTGAAGTATTCACGCTGTCTTGTAGGCGCTATGCGTTTCACGCTGACCGCACTGTTTGACGCAATGCGTGAAGTATTCATGCATTCTTGTAGGCGCTATCCGTTTTACGCTGACCACAATAACCGCACTATGTTTGATGCAATGCGTGAAGTATTCGTGCAGTCTTGTAGGCGCTAATATGTGTTACATGCCGATTGCCGCGCCGAGGGCTTCTCCTTTTCATCTCAAGTCCTCGTCATCATTTCTCCCTAAGTCGCGCCGTTCCAGGCCAAATTGTGTGTTTGGTTTCTCTCTTAACTCGACTAATTAAAGGTGCTGTCTCTTGTATCACTGAAAGACGACAAAATTAGAAATTACCATACTCTCGGGAAATGAGAGATTTTGTAGCCTTTTCTCGTTTGTAATTTTTTCCTAAATACGATTTTTTTTATACCTACATTTAAAAAAATTTCAAACTTTGCCACCCCCTAGATTTGCTGCCATGGGCCGCGGCCCATGTGGCCACCCCCTTAATCTGGCTCTGAAGAACTATTTCAATATTCCCAATATAATCTACCTATCGGTTTAAATTTGAAATATCCGATTGGACCCAGGACCCAGGATGCATTCCAGAAAAGCGGAGGATCTACTTTTGTTCCCAATTCTAAAGAAGTCGAGCACATATTTTCTGATGAATTTCGCTTCAAGTTGCTTATCTGTGTGTCCTGCTCATTCTTTGCAGGAAAAATGTTTCCGAGAGCTGGATGATATTTTTCAAGGATCAGACAGGAAGCCCACAGTAGACGACCTTCGGGACATGAAATACTTGGAGCAAGTCATCAAAGAAAGTCTGCGTTTGTTCCCGAGTGCGCCTCAAATTGGTCGAAGAGTTTCGGCGGACACGCAATTCGGTAAAATCATCACAAGTTTTAATGTCACAGTCGTGGTAGTAAATCTAGGCTTTGTGTTTTCATCGCATTTTCCGTTGTTTCCCAGACGAAGAAACGTATCAAGGGCGCGATTGCGTTTTTTGCCACGAAAACAACAAGAGAAACCGTCTGGATCATCGCTGATTTCAAACGGCAATCCATGAGAAAACCTGTGCAGTTTACAATAAAAATGTACCATAATTTCAAAGTAAAAAAAATTATTCTGAAATGCAATTTGGCAACGCTAAGATAAAGTTACTTTCTTTTGTCTAAAAAATGACGATTTGTGTCGGTGGTATAAGTGACAAATCTTAATGGTTTTATTATTATTATTATTATTATTTTTTAAAAAAAAAGAATCTCGAAATATTGTGAATTTATTCGTATTTAAAAAATTGCAGCAATTCCTACAGCATACTCCTTGGTTTTTGGTTGGGTATATGAGGCAAATACCTAAATCGATACAATATGAAGCCACTATTTGGACGTATTTCTGTCAAACGGAACTGAGCGCCATAGGAGGAGGAAGGTAGAGGGGGAAAGNGGGGGGGGGGCTTGGATTGGCGGCGGAATCGCGAGCGTCGGGCTCATTCCGTCCTATACTCACAATGCTTTTCCATGGCGCTTAGTTCCGTTTGACAAAACGCACTCGGCACCGTAGCAAGCGCGTCCCATTGTTTATCGTTACAGACGAATATAAGTTTAGAGAGGCCAGTCATAATGCCCTCAATTTTACGCCTACATATTTTCGGGCAAAATGAGAGACGACGTTTCTCCATTTGCGAAGTTGCAGACTTCCTTAGAAATTTTATTTTTCTTTCGAGAAGCTGGTCAACATGAAACTTGAATTCTCCATGATTTTTCGTATTCGATACCGGAAGATTTGGTTCAAAATCTAAAGTCGTAAATTTGGATTGTTTCTCATGGAAGAGATGAATTAAGAACGGAAATATTGAAACACTGCAACGGAGATACGTGGTTTCGCACTTTAGTCGGATCGATACGGACATCCAGCAAGCTTAAATAGTTGCATCAAGTCCCCGTCACCGCCGACCAACGCGTTTGTCGATCGAATCATCTACAGGTATTATGCGTAGGAAGTCAAAACGCCTTCAATTTTTTGAACGCAATACGGACATCTGTCGAAGTTGTATAGTTGTATCAAGTCGCCGTAGCAAGCACGTCCCATTGTTTATCGTTACAGACGAATATAAGTTGAGAGAGGCCAGTCATAATGCCCTCAATTTTACGCATACATATTTTCCGGCAAAATGAGAGACGACGTTTCTCCATTTGCGACGTTGCAGACTTCCTTAGAAATTTTATTTTTCTTTCGAGAAGCTGGTCAACATGAAACTTAAATTCTCAATGATTTTTCGTATTCGATAGCGGAAGATTTGGTTCAAAATCTAAAGTAATAAATTTGGATTGTTTCTCATGGAAAGATGAATTAAGAACGGAAATATTGAAACACTGCAACGGAGATACGTGGTTTCGCACTTTAGTCGGATCGATACGGACATCCAACAAGCTTAAATAGTTGCATCAAGTCCCCGTCACCGCCGACCAACGCGTTTGTCGATCGAATCAACTACATAGGTATTATGCGTAGGAAGTCAAAACGCCTTCAATTTTTTGAACGCAATACGTACCTCCGTCGAGATTGTATAGTTGTATCAATCCGGGATTCAAAATTCCTCTAAAGGAATTCAATTTGGCGCTTAGTTCCGTTTGACAGAAATCGTCCATTTCTGGCACATCCATAACTATCAAATCTTTTTAATGTTTATGCAACAAACTACACAATTGTCAATTCAAAAATGAGCGAGAAATAATTATTATAATATGTACAAGGTTTAGTTCGATTAGGCTGGTTAAATGCAGTTTTATAGAGGCAAATCAATCGTTGTTGCCAGGAATGCAAGGGACAATTTTTTACTCATAAAAACGATAGCTTACCTTGCTACAAAAAAATTGTTCTTGTATAAATGAACTTTGCTGCTCTCGGCACTGGGTAAACTCTACTTATGGCTTAGTAAGTAAAGACTTACTTACCAGAATATTGTCGTGATGTGGGGAGTAAGACAAGAAGTCAACACATAAGCTGTTGGTTGATTTTTGTGTTTCACTGTGTCAAATCGACTAGATCTTTGGGTTGAGAAGACTATATTTTTGTGTTGAAAATCTGCGACCGCGTTAACAATTATAACGCTAGCCTCCAGAATCGAACCGGAATCAAATCGGTGGTAATTCTAATGCGCTAGCCATCCGCAAGTCGCGACTTCTGAGTAAGGGGAAAAAAACAAGAGTACATAAGTTCGGCAACGCGCTTCTTTCATGATCCAATGTCTCAGAGTAACCTAAAATGTTAGCCGATTTAACACCAAATGTTGTTAAGCAACCTAAGTTATTTGCGTTGATCTGAACGTCAACACATCTCAAAAAAGTAACGCAGACTATACTGCCGTGCTAAGGAAAAACACCGTATAGTATAAAATATGCAACTGTGTATCTCCCCCTCCCCTAACATAGAATACATAGAGTCGTAATGTAATTGGGAGAGCTGGCGCCACTTTTAAGCATTTTCCATGTCCCAAATTCCGAGACTCCTGTGTAACGCCGGGTCACTTTTTCGATACATAATCGATTGTTTGTGATACACGGGTACCCGGCCATCACAACAACAACAACGGAGATAGGAATTACCACGTATTCCACACCGCCATTTTGGATCGAAAATGTATCGAAAAAGCGACCCGAACTCGGCGCACACCGGGCTCGGAATTCGTCGAGCAGAACATGGCGCCAGCTCTCCCATTTACATTACGACTCTATGTGCTCTATGTTCCCTAATATCGATAACCCTACTTAATCCTCATGCTTTAACCGCCAGGTAAATACATCGCTCCGGCCGGATCAAATTTAACGTTGTCCATCTACGCGCTGCATCGGGATCCCGAGCAATTTCCGGATCCGGAAAAATTCGATCCGGAAAGATTCAGCCGCGAAAATGCCAGCATCCGACATCCGTTCGCTTATGTTCCATTCGCAGCTGGAGCCAGAAATTGTTTAGGTAAGATCACATTGAAGTCTATCATAATCATAATGTATTAAATAAATAAAGATGAATCAAATATTTATTAAAATTGATTCACAAAAGCGGGTAACCAGAGGCGCAGAGGGGAACCCCCGACCAAGCTGCTAGGACGCACGAAGCGCGTCCCGAACAGCTAGCATTGGTTTCAGGACATTTTGTCAACGATTTTATGTCCGCACATCTTTTTTGTCCAGTAATTTACGCCCACACGTAAAATGAACAACAGTGACTTGGTCCAAGCGCTATATTTTAGTCGGTATGAGTCGGTCATCCGGGGAGTGAGGTCTGGCAACTCAAGAAAGAACTGAAGACATGCTTAGGGCAACTGAGATGGACTTTTGCGAAGGTCTGCTGGGATATCGAGAAGAGAGCGTGTCCGCAATGAAAAGGTACGCAAGATAATGGGTGTGGAGAAGGACATCGTGCACGATATCAGGTCCAAGCAGTTGGTCTGGTATGGTCATGTGCGAAGGATGGCATAGATGATCGGTTGCCCAAGCAGGTCTTTGATTGGGTTCCTCCCGGAAGGCGACGGCGTGGATGTCCTGTGAAAGGTTGGCGACAAGGGGTGGAGGAGGAGATCAGAAGGTGCCAATTGCCTGATGATCTCTGGGAGGATAGGGGGCAATGGCGATTGGACGTCGCAGAGCGCGAGGCGGCGCTATAAAAGCGGCGCAATGTTTGTATGTAAAATTATACTAGGGGCTCACGGGGCTGCTTCGCAGCCCCTTATTTTTCATGTACACCTTTCCCTTTCGTCTTTTTCCCCTTGTCTTTTTCGATTTATGCCCTGCTTTTTTCCCAATTTTTCCTTCAACTCCTCTCTTTTTCGTTCCTCCTTTTTTCTTTTCTTCTTTTTTTCTTCTTTTTCTTCTTCATTTTCTGCTCCCTCTTTATCTTCATCCAATTCTTCCGCTTTTTCTCCTTCTTCTTCTTGTTCCTGTTCCTTCTTCTGTCCGTTTTCCGCATTTGGAAAAAAAATTCCTCCGAATAAATGGAGGTTATTGACTTGATGAGGAAAAATTGGAAATAGGAAAAAGATGGAGCCAATCACGATTTGGGGGTAAAATTGGAAAAGAAAAAACGTGGGAAAAGAAAAATGTAAGTTGATGGCAGTTGAGTGTTCAGGTAACCTCATTTAATGATGATTGTTGAATGAAAACAGCTGATATCGTTGATATAAAAATACAGCAAATATAGTAAAGTAAGATGCGTAGCAACAAAAATTTTCCGAAAAACAAAAAAGGAAAAACCCCTACTTCCCCTCATCCAATTTATGAGTATTTAGGGATTTAAAAATCGGGGACAAACCCCAGAAAATAATTTATAATTTTCCCGAAGCATTGAGTACAACACCTTTCAAATGAACCAACGCCCCTCGCAATAAGAACACTGGTTAATTCCCAATTTCATTCTATTTTTCAATTTATATATTAAGATTGAAAATATGGAAATGAGAAATTAAGAGAGAATAAGGTGTTGTTATAGTTGCTCATTTTCGAAATGAAATGTTATTACTCTCTCCTTTTGAAACATCTTTTTAAATTGTGAATATTTGGTTTTATTTTTATCCTTAAAATATTCGATGTACAATATACCTTATATATGTATAGTATTTTTTTTCTTTTTCCAATTTTTTTTTTTACGAAATTATTACTTCATTTTGAAAACATTTATATTTTTAAAACGTGACAAATATTTGTAAAACCTTTTCCAAGCGACATTAATCTCAGTGCGCCGCAGTTGTGTTGAAAGCAACAAAACAAAAATGAATTAAAGAGGCAAAAAAACCAAGAAGCACGCAATCTTTGGTTTTAACCCATTTGTACATCTATTTTTTTTAGTAAAATACGTACAGTTTTGAGCGTTTAGTTCCGCACACATCACACACTAGGACAGTAAACGCACGAACTATAAAAGAAAAAATTGAAGTGCATTGGAAATTTATTAAACCACGGAACCACCTCAATATTTACAAAACACATTATATTTTCCTATAATAGAAGCTTTTTCAAATGAGGATAATCCATGCAGAGTGTGCAAGGATTACAAAATCATGAGAGCCAAACCCAGAGCGGAACGGCGTGCTGCCAGCGCCGAACCGCACTGGCGCCTACAAACCTAAGGGGATACTTCACGCACCGCGCAATGCGTGAAGTATCCCAGTTAGGTTTGTAGGCGCTGGCCAGCTGCTCACCGTGCCACGGCGCCTCAAGCAACTATTTCACAACAGAGGTGTTGCACAGTATCATACGAAATTGAAGGCGCTCCAACGTATTAAGAATGACATTCATCCTCTAAGAGTACGGAGCTTTCCTCTCAAAATAAATCAAGATACTACGGCACAAAAAGAGAGGGGTAGTCCAAATACTCACCAAGTCCCAACAACCGTATTTAATAACGTTTAGCACAACTTCTGAATTTCACTAGAGATCGTAAAAAATGAAATCCCCCTGTTTTCTAAAAGCATGGATTTTTCATCCTAAGTGCTATTTGAAAAAACTTTGCACAGCCGCGCTCAAGTTTACAGGAGGTACAAAGCCTAGACGAAACTAGAAAATAACCTTGTGTAAAGTTGATGGTATGCTGTTTTCATTCTAATGACTAAAATCTGGTAATTGCTCGATGTGTTGCAGGACAAAAATTTGCGATGATGGAAGAAAAGGTGATCTTGTCCTACATTATACGGCATTTCATTATTGAGGCTGTGACACAAAAAGACGACGTAAAGGTATTATTTTCAGCTATCTTGCGGTCAAAAGAAAGCATAAATGTTATATTCAAACAAAGAAATGATCTTAATCCTCAATGAATTACTTTTATAACATCTGATTAAACAAGTTTAGTTCAAGTAAACAAACGCACCTTCATTCTTGTACGTTTCTGCATTTTCGAGTGTGATTTTTCTTACCCTTAAATGGCTTTTTGGGGTTATCCTCAGAGGCGTGAATGAGGGCCCGCAATGTGGAGGACTCAAGAATCACGATGAGCGCATCCGGAAAATCCGAAATCCACTCCGGAATAACTCGAAAATTAACGCTGATTTTTCGATCCATTGAAATTCGGATACAATCGAGTTCTGCGATTAATCGACGTAAAAACTTTGAGCTCGTATAAAAACGATTTCTTCATTCATAATAATGCAGATGTTGCATGTGTGAGGAATTTGCGATTTGACCATTCGATCTTATGTAAAAGTTCGCGAGAAGCACGATGGTGCCACTGGTTTTCTTTGAAATCATCTCCAAAGCTCAAAAAAAGCTCTCAAAGTGGGGCCAAAATGGAGGATATCCCAACCTATCCTGAGAGTCCACCTCTACATCAAAACAAACTCTCCATGCAAAGATAGCGAGCAAATACATTGACAGGGCTGCCACTTTATTTGGGGACTCCAAAACTGAAAACACGGCAACCCTGCTAATGTATTTGCTCCCTATCTTTGCATGGAGAGTTTATTTTGATGTAGAGGTGGACTCTCAGGGTAGGGTGGGATATCCCCTCCATTCAGGCCTCACTTTGAGAGCTTCTTTTGAGCTTGGGAGATGATTTCAGAGAAAACCAGTGGCATTATCGTGTTTCTCGCGAACTTTTACATAAGAATCAATGGTCAAATCGCAAATCCCTCACACATGCAACATCTCCATTACCCACCAGTTAAATGAGATGAGCTTAAAATAAGCTCGGATTTTGGAAAACTGCTCATTTGAACTGTTCTTTAGTCCAGATGCATTTCCACAGAGACAGACCATTTGAAGTATGCGATATTTTTGCTGGGATCAAACGAGTGAACCATAGATATTTTTAGCGTCAGGAGTTTCACAAGTAAACCCGCAATTCAAATGATCTGAAATGAATATACACAGTTTTGGAAGGTTTCGACTAAAATTTTTAAAACTTCCTGCATAAATAGACTAAATTTATTCATAAATAAGTAAAGATGCATTCAAAAAGTTGAGTCTAATCCAGGAACCAAACATTTCCTGACAATAAATATTGCTCGCCTGACAGAAACAGTACTGTCACCTCTTGCTGATTTTGACGTTATATCCAGATGTTGGCCATATCATGAAAATTAAGCGATAATCTAAATCCCTCACGTCTGGTGGGGGTCTCTCGTCCGTTGAGAATTTGAATCTCAATAACGTGTTTGCAACAAGGAACTTGATTGATCTCATTGCGTATGTTTTACCTGAAAAATATAGACAAAATCAATAAATTCACGAAAATTAAAGGTTCGCAGAGAGGAGTGGCGTGGCGTGAATTGCGATGTATCGATTATTTTGCCATTCAAACGCATGGTAAAGAATCGATTATTAAGGTGTTTGCTGCGACCACCCTGTTTATCGATCTTTTTCCATAGGTTTAAATGACATAGTAATCGATATATCGCAAAGCACGCCACGCCACCGAGGGAAGTTGAAAAGATAGCTATGACAAATTGATGATTATCATTGCAGACGAGGAAATAGCCAAAAAAAACATATCCGGCATAGCGCTTTCTTTCTTTCATGTCAGCTCGTGTACCGTTCGGCGTCCCCCGGATGAAGGAACGTAATTCCATTCCAAGTTTGCCAAATTGACCCAAACAATTAATTTATTTTACAAAAATGTACATGTGCAATTTTCATACGAATTTGTTTGATTTTTTCATGAAATCTAAGGAAAAATCGGTGAAATTTTCAGTTGGGAATGCCCAAGATTTTCCTAGTTAAAAAACAATTTATGAGGAGAAATTTGGCAACATTGAAATGGAGTTACGTTCTTTCGTGAGGGGAACGACGCATTGTACCTCCTGCTTCTAAAAACCGGAGACTTTTCTGGTCAAATGAATACTCAACTACTTTCAGTATGTTTTACAATGGATAAATTTTCCCTCGTTTTGATTTTTTTTTTTGGCGAGACGTCACGCAAGCTACCGTGTATCAAAGAAGGGGGAAAAGGGGTTTAAAACCAAGCTCCAGTATTTTGCCTTTTTAGGTTGTTTTCGATTCCTAACATGGCCTACGCTGATTGTTCTTTTTTAGGGGGCGGGAAATTTGAATTAAGTGTTTATGGTGTAGAAAACGGACTTTAATTTCTTACCCATGATTTGATTATGGAAGATTTATATATGTTCAATGGATTTTACATACTATTTTGATGAGAGAACATATTTTTCAGAGGTCTCGTGCAGAGCTGGTTCAGTAATTTAAAATAATTTTATTTTTCAAAACAGGAGTAGGCTCATAGGAATTTTCTCCGATTTTTTTTAACAATCTTAACCCAAGATAAACGAGTATGAGGTTGGGTATTTTAAGCTCCCATTGAAGCGCGCGTCGCCGGGTCATCCAAGATGGCGGCAGCGCGCAAATCAGTCCGACTACAGCCACAATTTTGACTTTGCGTTCCCTCTGGCCCGACCCATGGTCTGTGCGCGTGCATTGATAACGGAAAGGGTGAATTTAAATACATCGGAATCTTTCAATTTTTATGAATATCATGATTGTTTATACGTTAATGAAGTACCGAACAATGATTTCAATAAAAATTGAAAGATTCCAATGTGTTCATGTTAACCTCTACCGTTATCAGTGCTCGCGCAAGTGACCATGAATCGCGCCAGAGCAGAGGGAACGCAAGGTAAAAAGAGTAATTGAAGTCGGAACGATCTCCGCAGCCCTTTTTAATTACTGATTGCTTTATTTATCTTAATCTTCTAACCTCGTGGTCATCATCATAATTTTTCATAAAATTCAAAATAATTCAATAACACTATATATTTTTAATAACGTCACAGTGTTTACCTAATATAGCTCACTTGCTCGTTATAGCTCGTTTTTTGTGGATTACTATTGTTCAAAAAAATCGGGGGAAATTCCTGCGAACCAGGGTGGCATGAAACGTAAGAAAGAAATGAAAGATTGGAAACGTCGGTGAAATATTTCATGAAATTTCACGAGGCTGTGAAATATTTCATATTTTTCAGGGGTTACAGTATGCAACCCACACTCAAACACACAAAAATAGAAGAAATTTACAATTTCTAAATTTTACTAAACATGAAAAGGAGCCGGCATTTTTCAATATCTTTCATAAATTTCTAGATTTTCATGAAGTATTTCACGTGAAATTTCAAGATTTTATTTTTCATAAAGTTTTGCCACCCTGCTGCGAACTGTGTGCACTCTCTCGTTTTCATGAGTGCAAGATTTGAAAACATTATTGAGCAAGCTCATTCTTACCTCGTATTGTGATCCATCATAAGCTGAAATTTTGGGAACTCTAAATTATTACACACTTACCCGGACAAGCCCCCATGTAGCATTTGGATTTCAAGATTAAGTAAGGAAAGAGTAAATATTACCTAATCATTAGATCAATTTAATGATTATATAAACATTAGTTAACGATTAGGTAATCATTAAATAAAAAATTTTTGAAATTTTTCTTTACTTAATGATTAGGTAATCATTATTTAAACTTTATTTAATGAAGAACTAAACGTTAATCTGTTTTATTACTTCAAAATGAATTAATCATTAGCTAATGATTACTTGTTCCTTACCTAATGAAGAAGTAAATATCATGTTATTTTATTACCTAAAGATGAAAATATGTATTAAATAATGATTACTTGTTTATTACGTAATGAAGAAGTAATGGTCAAGATATTTAATTACTTCAACATTAATTAATAATTAAATAATGATTACTTGTTCATTACCTAATAGAAAAGTAATTTTTCAAGATATTTTATTACTTCAGGATTAAATAATGATTAAATAATGATTTCTTGTTCTTTACCTAAAGAACAAGTAAATGTTAGAGATATTTTATTACTTTGAGATTAAATAATGTTTAAATAATTATTACGTTTTCATTACCTAAGGAGGAAGTAAATTTTAAAGAAATTGTATTACTTTAAGATTAATTAATCATTAAAGCATCATTACTTGTTCTTTACCTAACGAAAAATAATTT